TCTCTCACACACACACACATACACACACACACAGTCAGGGCTGAAGAGATAGTTCAGAGGTTAAGAGCATTTGTTTCTCTCACAAAGGCTCTGGGTTTGATCTGCAGCACCCACACAGCTGCTCACAATGCTCGTAACTCTGCCTTCAGGGGATCCCACACCCTTTTTTGATCTCACAGGTCAGGCATACAAATAGCGGTACAAGTGTTGCATAGACTCAGTCACACACATGCACACATAAAATAAAAAATAATTAATAACAACACAGGTAAAAGCAGGCTTGCATGCTTTGCATGGCATCTAACCATGCCACAGCTTGGCAGCAAATGCTTCCTGAGAACACAGTGGCTCAGATTCTATTAGTGTATGTTTTGAATGTAGTGCTTTCACTATGCATGCAAAGCTTTATGCTCTTATAGAAAAGGAATGGTTTAATTATGGAAAACAAGGACTTTAAACAGCTTCCTACTGTCACCCTTCAGTGTGTAAGTATCAAATTAATGTATCTTCAAAACATAATAGCTTAGAATGTTTGGTTTTTAAAGATTGCTGTTTGAGATGCTGGCTTGAGATACATTTTTAAAAAATCATTCAACAAATATTGGCTTGGAATGAAGATGGAATTTCCTGAAATGGGTTTAAACATATTTTTGACATTTGTACTATGTGTTTATGTGAGCAATGTTCTCAGCACGATTATAAAATCAAACTAGCAACACTGAAAAGTATTAAAGAAGCTCTGTGTCTTCCCAATCAAATATTCAGCCAAGACTTAAATCCTTATGTAAAAATTAAGAAGTACATCCATCTCAGTATGCAAATTTGTTCCCATCTTCAATAAATGATCAAATCTCTCTCTCTCTCTCTCTCTCTCTCTCTCTCACACACACACACACACACACACACACACACACACACACACGCACGCACTTTGCCAGCCCTGGTAGCAGAAACATTTAATCCCAATTCTAACACTGAGGAGGCAGAGGCAAGCAGACCTCTGTGAGTTCAAGGCCAGCTTGGTCCCTATAGGGAGTTCCAACCTAGTGAGAACTCCTAGGGGAGTTCTCACCCCCCTCCCCAATCTATTTCTTGAAATGCTTTCCCCCTTAGGTGAATGCAACTCATCCTTCCAGCCACCTGGCACCTGGATCAAATATTTTCAGCTGTCTCTGACCTCTCTTTTCTATTCAACACTCCATTCTCTTAGCAAATTCCTTTGGACTAAACAGTAAGACCCTGCCTTAAAATAAGAAAAAAATAATAATATATATATATGTGTGTGTATGTGTGTGTGTGTGTGTGTATACATATACATAAATACATATATGCTGAAGAACTGTTAGCAGCTACCCGGCATTTATTAAAAGACTTTATCTTTAATTTTAACTATGAATAGGCACGTGTATCTGTGCATGTAAGTGCTATTGCCCAAGGTGCAGAGAAGGATATTGGATGTCCTGGAATAACAGTTAAGGCAGTTGTGAGTGCTGTGAGCTGCACTTGAGTCCTCCGGAAGAGCAGTACATGCTTTTAACCACTGAGCTCTTTCCTCAGTCCCAAGGGGTTATACTTCTTGGGGCTGGAGAGGTGGCTCAGAGGTTAAGAGCACTGCCTGCTCTTGAGTTCAATTCCCAGCAACCACATGGTGGTTCACAGCCATCTATAATGATGTCTGGTGGCCTCTTCTGGAGTGCAGGTGTACATGCAGGCAGAACTTTGTATACATAATAAGTAAATAAAATCTAAAAAATTAAATACATAACTTATTTATGATTTAGCACCAGTAAATGTTTGATTTATATACCTCGTTTATAACTACATATACCCAGTCATATGAATCTTCCCAGTAGAAAGATGGTAGGGGCCGAAAAAGTTTAGGATGCCTTCAAGACATGGTACTTACTGCCACTTTCCAGTATTCTTGAGATGACCATATGCCACCTTTCTCAAACACGCTAAGTTTCAACTGTTGCCCAGTGAAATTATTTATAGAGTTCTCTTTTAGTCTCAAAGGTGTCTGTATTTGAACAAGTTACATGATCACCCAAGGTTTCCTTCTGCACAGCTGACTGACAAAGCAAAGTCCCTGGGGTAGTATCACCAGCCATCTGCCTAACTGTTGAAAAGGGTGATGTGTCTCTCCATGTGGCTAGCACTCCATGAGATGGTGGGAGTGCACAGAGCGAGACGTGGTCTTGGCCCAGGAACACCACGTTGTAACTGGGTGAAATGATCACATAGGCAGCTATAAAGCAGAGCTCAGCAGCACATCCACACACGTGGCACTTCAGAGATGGTTCTCCTTAAGCTCATGCTAAGAAACATCCATTCTTGTTCCATCGAAGCACATGAGAGTCAGCCGGAATCAAATCTTGAAATTCTAGCTGGGACTCTCACCCTCCTTTTATTATCTTTCCATCTACATCTTCCAATGTCCTTAACCTATAAGTTCTTGGGTTCCTGGGTGCAACTCTCAGACTTGGCCTCCTGCACAGAGGCTGTCATGAGAGAGGGCTCAGTCTCCAGTCCTCCTGCTAACCCACCGACCAATATCTGAATGGATGACTGATTTCTCAGTCCTCACATATCCTAAGGAGATTGTGCCTCCCCACCTCATCCCCTCCCCCTCCCCCATCTATTTCTTGAAATGCTTTCCCCCTTAGGTGAATGCAACTCATCCTTCCAGCCACCTGGCACCTGGATCAAATATTTTCAGCTGTCTCTGACCTCTCTTTTCTATTCAACACTCCATTCTATCTTAGCAAATTCCTTTGGCTTTGCATTCAGTATAAATCAGGAATCTGCTTCCTTATCTCAATCTGCTTATCGCCATCTAGCCTAGAGCAGTATGGGTTTTCTTGCCTGGTTTACTTCAGAACCTCCCTTCAAAGCCCTCTGCACTTTCCCCCAGTCCACTGTGTTAAGCCCCACAGGACATCCCAGCCCACCAACTGCCTTCTAAAATCCCCAGCAGAGCTCCTGCCTAACCTGCTCAAGCCTTTATGTTCACTCCCAGGGTTCCAAATTAATTAATTAAGATGAATTTAATTAAGTAAAAGGCAAGTCCAACTCGCTAGCCGTGCCTCGCCTCCTGGGAAGTGAAAGCTAAAGCCCTACTCCCAGTTCCACAAGCCCTCCATAATCTGGCCTGTTTCCCCTGCATCTTCCTCCCGCGTTCCTGCTCTTCCCTCTCTACACACTCAGTTTATTCTCACCACTGTTCCAGTGTCACCTCACTGAACTGTTGTTCTCTGACAACCCTTATGGTTTCACCGTCACCCCCTGGTTCCTGCCTTATTTTCCCCCCTAGCCTTATTTTTAGCTAATAGAATCAACAGATTAAAACACAGGATTTCCAGTAAAATCTGAAGCGTAAGAACATAAAACATGTGTTTTTAGTATAAGTCTATCCCACGCAATATTTAAGAAATACTTGTGTTTTAAAAATTACTCATTGTTTATCTGAAACTCAAAGTTAACTTTGGCGCTCTGTTTTTATTTACTAAATCCAGCATCCCACGCATCTAACACGTTCCTTATTTTGCTTATTTGTTCACTGTTTGCCTCTATCCCATCCCACCCCAGTCTGGTGCTCAGGACGTCAACCCAATGAAGGGGAGTACTTTTCAGTCTGTGTTGCATCGCTGGTCCTTACCGGCTGGAACAGCTGTATACCACAAGTTCAGTATCCATGGAGTGGATGAGTGAGTGAAGCGAGCACCTGACAACGCTAACCTCGGAGACACTAATGAATTACTCTGGTTGTTTCAGAGTTGGTTCTTAAACTACTGCCAGTCTAATTCCCCCCTCTAGAATCCTGGTCGTTCCTTTCAGGACAGGCCCAGGGGTTGAATTCCTGCAGTAAGATCCGTCCTATCAAAAGAGAGTGAGTTGGGGGCCTTTCTCAGGCAGGACGGCACCAACCCCGGGACCCTCAAACTGCTCTCAGACAAGGACACTGCCGCCTCCAGGCCCAGGGGTTCATTGAACATTTAGGAGGCAGGCTTGCTTTTCATTTCGCTGGGGGATTTCTCTCTCCTAATTGTATTTTCTTCTGTCTGGCTTGGTTTTGCATTTGCAGTGTGGATGAGTCATGTGCTACTTCCTTTTTTCATTTAGAAAAAAAAAAAAAATCACACACCTTTTCCCTTGTGCATAATCCCCACCACTCCCACGCGCTGCCGTGCACAGCCCTGCACATCTTTGTGTTGCTAACTGGCCCTTGCGTGAACCTGACGAGTAGGGCGGGGGCGGTTCAAAATTGTGTGGTAGGCGCCCCAGCCTACACGGTGAGAGGGGGGCTCAAGGGCGCTGGCCTCACGGTCCGCAGCCACCCACCCTCCCGGCAAGATTTATTTGGAACTATATAAGGTTCTGGAAATTCCCAACGGAAAAGACAAGTCTATTATAAACACAATGTAGAAAAGAAACTGCCGGGAGAAAATACAGGAAAACTGTTTTAAGAACTCCCAACTTTTACATTTAAACAGAAAGCCCCAGAGTTCTATCTATCATCCAGATGCTCAAGTACTCCCCTGCCGTTCGGATCTGCAAAACAAAAACATCCTTAAACTCCAGTTTAACTCTAAAACCTGCAAAACTTTGTATCCCGCAAAAAGCTGCCCCCGTGCAAACTCCTAACCAATGAATGGAACCACTAAAGGTAGGCGCAGAATTGCCTTTCAGAGCCTCCCGAAGCACGGGAAATTATCAAATCACAGCTGGGCGATTCATTTGTCATTGCTTCGAGATCCCGCACAAACTGCTGGCTCACTGTTCCACCACTCTTGACACCATGCACCACCACCTCCTCACCGTTTTAGAAAGATATCTTACAAGAGATAAAGTGGAGCCAAGAAACCACAGCTCTGGGCTCAGTTTGAAAATGCACCCCCCCAACACCTCCCTCCCCAAGAAATACTTTTCCTGGCGTCAGGAGCCGGTCTCCAGTTTTAAGCAGCGTGCGTGTAACTCCATCTTTGAGGACGGTTACTTACGGGGCATCTGTCTGCTGTCTGCGGAGGGAGGCAGGTTCGGCTCACATTTCTGGCCTTCGCTTTCTTCCATTGTCCCTGCCGGCCGCCCAGGCTCCTCGCTCTGGAAACTTCAGAGCGCAGTTCCGAAAGCTCGCAGAGAGCGCTTGGAAGGGGGCCCGGGGGTGGGGCGGAGGGGACCGGCGAAACCCCACCCCAGCTAGTCTGCAGTGCGGTGCGAAGTCTCCCTCGCCCGGGAAGACTGCATTCCAGCGCCCGGCCTCCCTCGGCCCCGGCCCCCGAGCGTCCGCCACCGCCTGCTGCCGCCGGGACTGGGGGCTGTGCCTTGGAGGCGGCGGCTGTCCCCGCCTCTGCCGCCCAACAGGTGACGGCTCTGGTGACCAGGACGCAGCCTGCCGGGTTTCCCCGGGACTCGCAGCTCAGGGACAAGGCAAACACTTCACACAGGAGTAGGGACAGGAGCTGCTGGTGCTAGCCAGGCCCGGCCCTCTTTTAATCTCAGGAGCCAAACAGGGCCCCCAGCTCGGCTGAGTAATAAGCAGTAAACTCCCGAATCCCTCGAAGTTCTGAGAAATCTCTTCAAAAGTTGTTTTTGGGGTTGTTTTTTTGTTTTGTTTTGTTTTGTTTCTGTTTTTGTTTTTTTTTTTTTTTGAAGAGAAGTATATGCTAAATGTTGAGAAATAAACACTTTACACACCGACTCTTTCAGAGACTAATTAGCATCTATAAAGAAGTATTGTAATTTCCTCTAGTCAACTTCAATCACTTTCTTATCTGGACTTTAACCCCTGGATTTTAAACCCTTTGTTTCATTTTGTTGTGTTACTAGTCTTCACTTTCTTCGACTCCTCCCCTCAAGACAGACACAGAACCCACACCCACAAAACCAAACACACAGACACTTCTCTTGATCACAAACCTGAAGTCACCCAGTAAATCACCCTTCCGAGTCTCTCAAGTTAATTACCTAGGAACACCTGAAAGGCAATTAAAATGCTTTTCTTCGGATGGGCAGAATTACATCCCACCCGCTTGTTCTCCTTTTCAACTACCTACAAATATTTATTTTGTTCACTACCAGTCCTTGGAAAGCTGGCAAAATTCCCAGAAAGTGAAACTAGGAGGCACAGTGTCCGCATGAAAAGGATGGGAGAATAATCCAAGCAACATTTGCCCCTGCTCTTTTAGAGATGGGGACCCAACAGCTAACAGAGGAAGTGTGGCGTTTCAATCCACCGCCCCACATCGTCTTAGGGGAGAGGACAATGGTCATCTTGCCTGCCATACTTTGACCCAATTTACAGCCCCATTCAAGCAGGACTGGACATTGATTTAGACCAGGAATTTGCACAGAACAATAGCTGGCTTCTGGGCTGGATTATGACCTTGAGTCACCTGTGTGTCTTGGCAGCAGAGGGGACATATTTTGGCCACTTTGAACATAAAAATGCGGAAGTCTGTAAAAGACAAAAGAGTATGCCCTGAGTTAAGGTATGAGAGACACCCAAGCTGGGGGAAAAAGAGCCCTGGGCTCCCAACAGGGTTTGTCTAGAAACCCAAGGTGATGTGGAATCCTGTAGAAAGCTCAAGGAGTACCCTGGCAGTGACTTTATTTTATATTTAAAGATTTATTTTATTTTATGTGTATGGGTGTTTTGTGTGCACTATGTATGTGCACCACATTGGTGCGGTGCCCAGAAAGGCAAGAAGAGGGTGTTGGTCCTCCTTAACTGATGTTAAGGTGAGGGAATCTAGGTCTCCTGAAAGAGCAACAAGCACTCTTAACTGCTGAGCCACCTCTCCAGCTCCAAGGAGTGGGTTTACACAGCAAATATCTAGAAGTTTCCATGACCTCGCAACAGCAACACCCTGCGATCTTACTTACCCATGGAAATCATTAAGTACAGCTAGTCCCATAATCCTGGCCATTTATGTACGTACAAAGAGAAGGAGGACCTGCTTGGCGGTACAGGCCTGTAATCCCTACTGAGGCAGGAAGATGGCAAATTCAAGGCTTGCCTAAGCTACAGAGTGAGTTCAAGTCCTTGAACAAATGAACGAAACCCTGTTTTCAAAAGCACTAGAAGTCGGAGGGTATAGCTCAATGGTAGAACATCCACCTAGCATGTTCAAGGCCCAGGGTTTGAATGGCAGAACCACCAACAAAATTTCATAAGGAAGAGCCTCTGTGTTCAGACCTCCAGTTGGATTGCTCTGGTTGTCTTTCTGTGTGTATTTATGTGTTTGGATATGAAAGAATCTGTGCGTATCTGGAGGTCAGAAGAGGCATTCAATGTCTATTCCTTTCCACCTTGTACCCACTGAGTCAGGTTTCTCCCTAACCGAGGTTTTTGGCTAGGCTGCCAGCCAGCAGACCCCTGTCTCTGCCTTTCTTGAAGCACAGGAGGCCCACCGTGGCATGTGTGGACTGAAATACAAACTCCAGGCCTCATAATTGTGTAGCAAGTCCTCTTAACTCCTAAAACATCTCTCCAGCCCCCTTAATTAAGTCTTCTGTGGCTGCTATATTTTTTCAGGTTATAAGTGCCAAGGGGAGGAGCAGTGAGCATTGAATTATGAGGCTAAGGGCTTTGACACCACCCAACCTGTTATCCTGTGGGAACAGCCCCCTCTTAGCAGTTCCTGTCTGTCACTTGACACAGTCCAGGAACAAGCCTTTGTGATAAAGGAAATAACAGAAGGCCACCGCAGCCAGTCAACAGGAACCTTCTCTTCAGTACCATCTAGGTAGAAAAGATCCCTTTGAGGATAGGAATGATACCCCTGCCTGGTGCTGTGTGCAAAGCATCACAGAAGTCTTCAGGCCTTTATGGATCTCTAGATGGGCCAAACAGATGAAGCTCTTCCACACTACCTGGACTCTAACCAGCCTAAGGAATGCCTCCACTACCCATATGCCCCAGCTGTTTGGCTTCTCTCTCACGGGAAGAGCAGCCTTCCATTACCTCTGTAGATATTCCAGATAGTCCATAGAATGCAAAAAATAAACAAGTGGACGAGCCCACATCATCAAGGACTCTGGTCTACACATGTAGTGAAATGATGGCCAGATTCTTCCAAGATTACAGGCAGAGTTTCTGTGAGTCACTGGACTTCTGTTGCTTCTCTTTAAGAACAGGAACTAAAGATATTTTTCAAAGACCCTATATATGCCATTATGCCTGCTATTCACACATTTCTCCCCTAGGCACACTAATACTACTAAGAACTTTCTACTGACTGTAAAATTTCTCAGGAAAAAAAAAGTAGCTGTATTTATTCTACAACCTATATAAACCTGACACTCAAATCTTCATGAAAAATACCACTATTGCCATCCCTGGTACTAGAGAAATATCCTTTGTTCGAGAAGCAACTCTGAACTAGAAGTATACTGTGTTTTTTAAAATGTAATTTTTGGCTTTAAAATTTGCTATCACCATCCAATCTGCCTATTACTGTACTTCAAAATTTGCTGGGAAAGCAAAGACTTAAATTTAATTTTCTTCCAGTTATCTGGAGAGCCACAAAAACTGATCCTGGGTGTTAAACTTTCAACTCCATTTCTGTAACCCAGAGAAGGTGCAAGCCTTTCTCATATGTAGGGTTCAGACTTAAAATAAGCTTGTGCACACACAAAAGAGTGTCATTCAAAACAAGAAAGAAGAGCCAGGAAGACAAAGTTGATTTTTCAATCACAACTGACCCGTTACGGAACCAGGCTGTTGGTTTTAAAACCAATGTTTGTATGAGATCTTCTAAGACAGGAATTAACCACAACAATTGTGGCTGATTTGCCCCAGGCCTCTTTAATTACAGAGCAGTGGGAAATCACATCAATTTCTTTTATGTAATTTTTTTCAAGAGAGAAATCATGGCTAGAGCCAAGCCTAAGTGGAATTACCTTGATAATATGTTTAAGTTTTTTTCCCTTAACTCTTGCTAAAAGCGAGATAGTTTAAAGTAATTTAACATCTGGACACAAAAGAAATAATTAATGCTTACTTAAGTCCTTAAATGGACCCTTTAAAAACATTGATAACTCAGTCAAAACAAAGTGAAAAACCAATCAACAAAAATAGTTGAGAGTAGGTTCATTGTTAGATAACCATCTAGCCTCCCAGTCCTGACAGCATGTGTCATCTGTAAGTCAGAAGGAATGGACAGTTAACAACTGGGAGAACTGTTGAAATGGGCTGGGTGTGGGGGCTCTTCTTACACCTTGCTTTGACAGCACACTGTCAGGTGGCTCCTGTGACCTTATGCCAGAGCACCTGGGAAAAGGAAAGGAGGCAATATTAACAGTTAACGCTGGGCTATTAGAAACCACCACTGTCACCAGCAAACCACACAGATGGCCACCTGCGTGTGATCCGAGATATGACCCATGTACTTCTTCAGGTTTCTAAATGTGAAAGGCTCATAAAATGGCTATTTGAGCTGCTCAGCAAACACTCTGTGTATGAAGTCTAAGCACTAATGAAAGCAAGTGTGGGACCCTCCTCAGAGCTATATTTCAAGCAGCAACCACATACCTCCAGCATGACCTCTATACTGGAAGGCCTGGAAAGCCCAGAATCCTGCCACTTAAGAAGTGAGGAGTGCAAGAGTCTCCCAACAGGTGACCTTCCTGGTCAGATGATTGGTCATGTCCTTATGTTGTTCCACATACAGTCCTCATACAGCTACATAACAAAACTACACTTGGATCCGCTACCCATGAAGTACTTGTCCTCTCTAAGGCCCGGTTGATGTCCCGTTTTTTATTGGGCTTCTTTCATCTCCTCTGGATTGGGAGGGCCAACTGTGCAGGGCTGCCATCTGGTCTCAGTTCCGCTGCCTGACCCCACAAACCAAGTCTGGATCCCAGGTGGCAACTTTTAAGTGAAAAAGCTTATGGCTTTTATCCCACAGCGAGCCAAGCTGTGTAAGCCGAGTTCCAGAGTTCCAGGACTTTCAGGGCAGAATTCACCAGACTGTCTGAACTTTCACAGGCCTAGGTAATCAAAGATGCTATCAGCCTTGCAATGAGTATCTGGTGGAAGTGGTTTTTCCAGATTCATTTTTTTTGGCCCCAGACTTCCATAAATGTCCTCACTGCAGACTGCCAGAACTGAGCCTGACAAGAACTGAGTCACCACTTCGTAAGTTCATGGGTTTGGTTCCCACTCTCCTGTCTGCAGGCATGCTCAGCCCCAGGCCGGGCTGCTTCTGTCCTCTTTTCCACCAGTTACGCCAAGTGCTACACTGACTTGGAAAATAGAGTCAG